AAAGAAAAAAAAATTGTTGTTCATAAACACATCTACTCCACATTCAGCTTTGTCGCCTATATAGCTTATCATGTTCACTTCTTCTGGTTTATGAAGAAGCCACTAATGGCCTAGTGCATGAGCCAGTCCTGTTCCACCAAACCAGGCTGCCTGTGAGGACTGGGCATTGCTCCACCCCTCATTGTAGAAGAGGGCCCCAAACACACCAGGTAAACACAAAGGACAAATAGGTTCTTACTCTTAGGAACCCTATTTTATTTTTTATAGCCTCTGGGTGATAAATGTGTACATTATATCTTCACCAGGACTATTTTGGAGTCTGTTCAGAGCCAGTGATCAAAGACAATGTGGTTGTGGTATATGAGGTATTGGAAGAGATGCTTGACAATGGGTTCCCCTTGGCTACTGAGTCAAACATCCTCAAAGAACTGATAAAGCCTCCCACTATCCTTCGAACAGTGGTCAACACCATAACAGGTATGTGGAGTGAGGGCAACAAAAAGCTGCTTCCCATCGTAGGTGTGGCAGTCTGGTGTGTACATTGTTTGGAGTGTTTTGGCATCTCAAATGTCCAGGAGCTTTAATTTTTCACTTTTTTGGCCTTTGAGTCTAACCTGAAATAATATTTTGTTATGTAGAAAGCACCCAATTTCAATGACAAAAAGAAGTATTTGTGGGCTAGGGTATAGCTCAGTGGTAGAGAGGGCCTGGTTTCATCCTCAGCCCTGCAAAAGTCTTCCTTAACAATAATCTAATTATAGAATCAAAAATATGATTATTATAGAAACTTCAAGAATACAGAAAAGCACAAAGAAGAACATGGAAATCACTCTTAATCCTTTTTAATATACTTTAATATATATTTCTCATCTTCAAAACAATTTTTTTTCTTTGTCTTTTTTGAGATGTGCCCTGGCCCTATAGCCCAGGCTGGCCTTGAACTAGAGATCCTCCTGCCTCTGCCTCCTGAGTGTTGGGAGTATAGTGCTGGGATTAGAGTGTGTGATGCCACACCTGGCTTCCTCTGTTTCTTGTGTGTGATACTGGGGTTTGAACTCAGGGCTTTAATGTTTGCTAGCCAGGTGCTCTATTATGAGCCACACCCTCACTGCTTTTTGCTTTGAGTTAATTTTTGAATAGGGTCTGGAGTTTATGCCTGGGCCAGTCTGGATATGATGCTCCTGTTTATACTTCCCACATAACTGGGATGACAGGTGAACATATCATACCCAGTGTTTTATTGGTTAAGATGGAATCTTGAGGCCTTTTTGTCCAGGTTGGCCTCAAACTGCGATCCTTCCAATCTCTACCTCTTGAGTAACTAGGATTACAGGTGTGAGACACCTTGCCTGGCCCTGGGTTTATCTTTTGTAGAAAGATGAATGATGGGTATACAGATTTTTTTTTTTTAAACAACTCTTGTTTTTTTTTTTTTTAATTTAACTCCTTATCAGTATTTTATGAACATCTATTACCATAGTCGATACTATTTTTAATGATTAGTTTTCTTCCACATTGGATGTACCAGAAATTATTTGCTCAATCCCTGTTTACGAAGTTTATAATTTCTTTTTTTAAGTGGAAAAGGGTTAATGTTCTCATACTCAAGTCTTTGTGCACATCTAGGATGGTTTCTTTTCAGTACTGGAAATGGAAGTGCTAGGTTGAGGGGTGTGTACATTTCAGAGGCTTTCATGCATTGAGCCAAGTTGCCCTCCAGAAAAATTACACCAACTTGTTCTTTTAGTTGCAATTTCTGTCCACCACAATCAGCCCTATTGTTATTAATTATTTAGAAACATTGGCATTTTGCCAATAAACTATTGGCATCTTGTTATTTACACGCTCATTTTTTGTTACTAGCAAGGTTAAAAATCTGTGCAAGTATTTATTAACTGTTTTCCTTCTAGTGTGAATTACCTTTTATGCTCTTTGTCCATTTTTGTTGTTGAAATGTGTTTATTTTTTCATACAGATTTAAAAGAATTCCTTACATTTCAGGATCCAAAACTAATCTGAAAATGTACATGAAGGTGTATAGGAGTCTTTATTTTGGATACTGTAGTATTTGAATACTATAGCAGGTTTTTCTCACAATCCATCACTTGTTGTTCACCATTGTAATAGTATTTGCTTAGCCATACTTTAAATGTTTTGATTTAGTCAAATTAATCTTTGTGCTTCATTAAGGTTCTACATTTACAGTCTTGTTTAATGTGTAAACAGGTTTCATGGGATTTGACAAAACAATTGAAAAATACAAAGTATGAGTATGGGGGTTGTGCCAGTAATCACAGCTATTTGGGAGTGGAGGTTGGGAGGATCATGGTTTGAGGCCAGCCCAGGAAAACAGTTAATGAGACCCCTATCTCAACAAACAAGATTGGCACGGTGGTACACAGATGTAATTCAGCTCCATGGGAAGCATAGGTAGGTGGATCTCGTCTGAGACCAACCCCAGGCAAAAAGTCTTAAGACTCTATCCGAAAATTAACAAAGCAAAGAAGGGTGTAGGCCAAGTGGTAGAGCACCTGCCTAGCAAGTAGGAAGCCCTGAGTTCAAACCTCAGTTCTATCCCTCCCCACAAAAGTAAAAAGAATAGCCAACAACTTAGAAAAAGAATTTTATACAAAGGAGTTGGAAGAATTTGCTCTGTCAAATGTAAAGACATTAAATGTTTGTATCGTATACAAGACAAAAACTCAGAGCAGCCATATTAGAAGAGCCAAAACAGTTTAGTTTCTCAAATTAAATTTTTAAAATAGAAAGCAAGAAAAAAATGTTCTACCAGACAAAGCATGTATTATGAAGTTGAATATTGGCTCAGTAACAAATTTGGTGTGTTTTACAATATTCTGAAATTATTTCAAATCTTAAAAGTTTGTGAGTGCGTTGAATATTATGAAATGATTTAAGCCTGTGTCTCACTTAAATGTAGAAAGAAGTGTCTGAGAACCCCTTTTGAAAAGCTGAAATGGTTTATAAACATGCTAAATGTATATGTCGTTGCTGTGTCTTTAGAGTAAAAAGATCCAGGCAGTGGAAAAAAGAACTAGAATTTAAATTAGGTTGAGTCAATATTTCAGTTTAAAGTCTTTGAATTAAAAAACAATTTTTTGTTGCACTGGCATTTGAACTAAGGGTCTTGTGCTTAATAGGTAGGCGTTGTATCACTTGAACCACCCTCCCACCCCCCAGTTTTTTGATGCCTGTTGGGGAGACAAGTCAAGGAATTGATCTATCCCTCTTAAGGACAGGGAAGAATCTAATCTGTATTCTTTTCCTGAGTTCAATATGAGACATAGTTGATATGTGCATTTTAATACCACTGATGAACCTAAGAACCTGCCTCAAATTGGAATACTTTATTCACCCATGAAAATTTATATCAATACGTAGATTACCGACCTTGTTGAAAGCCAATACATTATTTAAGCTGCAAGCTATTTTGGAATTTGAGATACTTCCGTTCATGTTACTTTCAAAACCAAAATATATCTGTTTCTCAGGTAACTTAAAAAAAAGAAAAAAAAAAAACTTTATTCTGCTCGAGGTGGCAGACCAGATGGTGACAATGAGTTTTAAAAATAGACTGGGTTGTCCTACATAGAAGTTGAGAGACTCTTGCCATGTGTTTGACGGTGCACAGATAGTGGGAGCATGGAAATATATAAGGAAGTCTTCTCTGGTTATCAGAATGAAGTTGGCATTAAACTACCGATGTAATTCTAAAAGTACCAATATTAATTGTTTCAGGAAGTACCAATGTGGGTGACCAGCTTCCAACTGGGCAGTTGTCAGTGGTGCCTTGGCGAAGGACTGGAGTAAAATACACCAACAATGAAGCCTACTTTGATGTGATTGAAGAGATTGATGCTATCATTGATAAATCAGGTAGGTGTTTTTAAAATGCTCAACACATATGAAAATGAGGGAGGCCCCTTTCACAGACTATTTAGGGTGTCAGCACTGTCTCCCTAGGGCCATCCCTGTGAGTTAGTGACTCCTTAGTGTTAGGCTCTGTGCCAGGAAATGGAATGGACTTGATAATATGACTCACACCAATGTTTGTGCCACACTTCACTGCTTTATAGTTCTCATCTTGAATGAAAAAGGAGGTTAACTGTAAAGATCAAGCTTGCCCTCACTCATCACCAGTCAGGTCTCTGCTCATGAATTTGTAAGACTTGTTTTCTGCTACCATCTGAAATGATTAATGTCAAAAATCATGCACCAACTCAACAGAGAGAATGGGTAAGTTCTACCTTGGAGACTTCTGTAAAACATTCAGATCTTCTAAGTCCACAATCATGAGTCTAAGCAAGGCTTGACTTTAGTTCAGTTGTATTTCTCAAGTAAATTAAATTGGCCTCTGTTCCTGGGAACTAATCTCTAGAATATTTAGTTCTCACTACATGGAAAGAGGAAGAACATTCTTACTCATGGAGATGAATCCAGAGGGCCTTGGATACTATCCATTCTCCATGGCATGTTTGAGTTTCTCTTTTGTTATATGAAAGCTATCTTATTTTTAAAAATTACTGTTCTCTTTATGGTACATTGAAAAAGTGATCTTGTATGTGGTGATGGGTGTCTTTTATATTGAATCTGTTATTAATGTTGTAAAATAAATGAGTTTGCGATGCCAAAGGAAGACATTATACTATTATTTTGCCATAAAATACAAATAAGCCTTAAAAGGTCTAAACTCATATATAAGAAGTTAACATGTTGATGCACAAATGAAAATATTAAATTCAAAAATAAAAGATTTTAAAATGAAAAAAAAAAAAAGAAAGAAAAAGGAGGTTAACAAATGAATCTTTCATTGATCGGATCTCTTTTTGGAAATATTTGATTCCCAGTGCTGATGGCAGGAGTTGTAATTACTAAGATTCAATGAGCCTTCTTTTCTGTCTTTGTGGATTAATGTGACTAGCTGTCCTAGAACTGAGGTGTTGTAGACAGTTCTCTTCACATTAGTGAACTCGCCTATTCAACAAATATTTATTGAAAACTCATTGTGTTGCTGCAGCACAGAGGTGGGCATTTTACCGTCTGTGGCTGTAAAAGCTAAATCTGTCTAGTGAGGCAGAGAGAAGGGGAGGAAAGGTGGAACAGATGAGAGGTGCCGCCTTGCCTGAGCACAGTGTGGAAGCAGCAGTATGGACGCTTAAGCAGCAGAGTGAGTGGAGTGTTTTCTACCAGCATGGATTTAGGAGCAACCATTCTAACAAGTGTTTCTCAAAATACTGTTGGGAAATAAAGTAGCTCAGTAGGACTGGATTGAGAGACATAAAAAGAGAAAAGTAAGTGATGAGGCTTTAAACTAAGGCAGCATAGCAGCTTTTCATGTTTGCCAAATGGGGGATAGCCTGAATGTCCATAGCAGTAAGTAGGACCCAGACATTTTAATTGATTTCCCAGCAGAATACTATTCAGTAGTGAAAATGAATGGATTCACCAAACAACATCGTTGAATTTCACAGTATTGAGCAAAAATGTCAGACGTGTATGGTTTTATATCATGTTATTAATTTATATGAAGCTTGAAACATGCAACTTAAAGTAAAAGGAGTCTGAATTTTGGGGATGTAATTAATTAGGATGGACAAAAGGGAACTTGTGGGATGTTGAAAAGGTTCCACATTTGATATGGATGTATTTACATAGATGTGTATGTGTGTGAGAATTCACTGGGCAGCAAGAGTTTTGCATTTTTCCTCAAGGAAAAAGTAGAAAACAGAAGCCAGGTGCTGTTGGTTCACACCCTCCAATCCTAGTGAGTTGGGAGGCTAAGACCAGGAGGTTCAAGTTCAAGGCCAGCCTCACGGGAGACCCCCATCTCCAAAATGGACTGGAGGGATGGCTTTAGCAGTAGACTGCTTTGCAAGCACAAAGCCTTGAGTTCAAACCCCAGTCCCACCAAAAAAAAAAAAAAAAAAAAGTAAAAAAAACTGATGGCCAGACGACAAAGAGCCTTGTATGCCATTTTAAGGAGGACAATTGGGAGCATTTGAAGAGTTTTAACTTGGAGTACTTTGATCATTTTTATCATTCAGAGAGGTTAGTTTGTGTGTGTGTGGAGAGGAGCTTGAAGTAGGGAAGACTAGGGTAGAAAAAGCAGTTAGGAGGCTGTGGTCTAAGTCCAGGCCCAACACATAGATGTCTATAGTGAATAAATGGGAAAGAGGTAAGTCTGAGAAAAGAGGCCTTGGTGATTGTTTAGACATGGGCACTGAGAAGGGAGGAACAGTCAAAGATTTGCCTGTGCATCCGCAGGCGGCAGGGTGGATGGTGTCATCATTAAAATACAGGAAACAGGGTTGGGGGGTAACAGGCAGGAGGATCATCAGTTCACTTCTTGACAGGAGGAGATTGAAGTACCCTGTGATGTCCCATAGTCAGGAGTGACAGTGACCTTGTAGAGAGGAAATAGTTGACTGTAGTAGAAATTGAAGCCGCTGCTCCCCCCTACCCCCTGCCCAAGGAGAGCAGTAAGAGTGAAGTGCAGAGTGTGCACAGATGGACATCTTGGGATGCGCAGACACTAGGAAGAGGATCCAGGAGTGGGAGAGAACTAAGCAAGGGCAGGAGAGGAGCATTTCAATGACAACAGTGACGAGCTGCTGAGACGTCAGTAGGGTGCAGAACACAAGTGACCTCTGATCTAGCAGCAGAGCTTACTGGGGACTGTAGGGAGGGCAGTTTCTGATGGGAGATTTTCTAAGCCATTGGTTAAGATAGCAATGCTCTGTATGATTCCAGTACTAGATTGAAAACCCTGTAGGCTGATAACTGTCATTTATATTTTTACTCCCACTGCTTCATCATAGTATTTCCTGCCTGATCAATGTTTTGAAGATGGATAAGGAATTGGCTAGACAGAAAGAAAGAAGAAAGGGAAGGGGGGAGGAAGACAGGCAGGAATAGGAGGGGAGGAAATACACAAGGGGAAGGACGGGGAAGTCTTCAGTGGCCTCAGTGTTCTTGTCTTATTCCTGTCTCAGGCTCCACCGTTACTGCTGAGATCCAGGGTGTGATCGATGCCTGTGTCAAGCTGACGGGGATGCCAGACCTCACACTTTCCTTCATGGTAATGTCCTGGCCCAAAGTTTGAGTTCTTGGGATGGGACATGAGGTGCTTCTGAGAAGAGAGTGGTGAGAATGGAAGAGGACAAGAAGGAATTAGGGCAGCACAAGTGTGGGTTAGGCTGGAATTCAGTGCAAATAGCATCTGAATTCTCCTGAAGGAAATTGGATGTTTGACCTGCTTCTTGCTTTTCCTTGCCTGGTGCTGCAGAACCCCAGGCTGCTGGATGATGTCAGCTTCCATCCTTGTGTTCGGTTCAAACGCTGGGAGTCGGAGCGGATCCTCTCTTTCATCCCTCCAGACGGAAACTTCCGCCTGCTCTCCTACCACGTCAGTGCGCAGAAGTAAGCAGCTCCTTCCGTGGGGATGGGGTGTGAGTGTGTGTGCCCCAGTGATGTCTGTAGTGATGAAGATTTGGGCTCTAGAGTTTCCTGCTTTCAAGTTCTAGCTCCTCTAATTGGTAATCATGCTGCCTCAGGTGAGCTTTTCCCTTTCCTGTGTCTGTTTCCTAATCTGAAAATAATAGAAATATTTTGTGAGGGTTGAATAGTGCTTAATAAGGTTGCTGCTGTAATTTTTTTATTTTTTATTTACTTATTATTTTGCTGTGCTCAGGGCCTCATGCTTTCTAGGCAGGTGCTCTACCACTTGCTTTTAGTTTGTTTTTCAGATAGGGTCTGGAGCTAACTTTGCCCAGCCTTGCCTCTTCCACCTCTCAACTAGCTGGATTATAGGCATTCACCATCATGCCCAGCCCCTGTTGATTTTTGAGACAGATCTGGCTACATAGACTATGCTGCCCATAACTTGAGATCTTCCGGCCTCAGCCTCCAGCATACTGGGATTACAGGAGTGAGCATTGTTGCTATTACTGTTTAGTGATTTTCGGTCTTGAACATTGTCTTTATTTGGAGTCTAATAGCTTTTGGAAGCAGTAGTATGTGGTAGAAGCTATGCAGACTGAAATGAGCCAGACTTCAGAGCCACTAGTGCCTCCCTGTGTGGTTTGGAGTCATTCATTCAGGGAAATGTCTGAGTGTTTGAGGTAAAAGGCCCTGGAATCTGCCTGCCTGGACCTAATCCCACCATGAGCTCTTGGGCAAGTTACTTAACCTCAGTGTTCATCTGCAAACCAGTACCTACTTCCTACTTGAGATGCAGCAGCTAGTAGCAGTGCCAACTTCATACTTATTAGGAGGATTAAGTAAGCTAAGGATTAAATGGATAGAAAACACTAAGCACAGTGACTGATGCACAGGAAGTACTCAACAAATGTTAGCAACTATGACTACGTTAAGATTATTCTGTGGCTTCTTTGAGTTTGTTTTCCTGACTTGTCAAATCATGACAACACCTTCCTACCTCTTAGATGTCAGATAAAAGCATTCTCAAGAAGTTATGAAAGGTCTGTGAGGTCTGAGTGTTACTGTCCTCTGTACAAATGATTGATCACATGTCATAAATTAAGACATAGACATACAGTGGCTCTTTGTTTTTGTTCATTGTGACTTTCTCGTGGTAGGTTAGTGTGCTTTTTGACTTTGCTTTTACTCTTCAGAGGCATCAGAAGAATTTTTATTTCCTAGACACTATTTTAACTTTTCAAAAAGAAAAAAAAATGATTATTGCATTCTATATTTTTAAGGTCAGGAGTAGAACATAGAAAAGGGAGGAAAAGCTGTCAATGGGGGCAAAAACAGCAAAATGTAAAAGCAGGAAATAATGCCATTTTTCCAGTACATGAATGAGGTGGGCTTTTTGTCTTTTCCAGTCTGGTTGCAATTCCAGTGTATGTCAAGCACAGTATCAGCTTCCGGGACAGCAGTTCACTTGGACGCTTTGAAATAACAGTGGGACCCAAGCAGACTATGGGGAAAACCATAGAGGGAGTGATGGTCACCAGCCAGATGCCCAGAGGAGTCCTGAATATGAGCCTCACTCCATCCCAAGGGGCACACACGTTTGACCCAGTTACAAAGGTAGGGCAGCAGGGCTTTTGAATTGCTGATGTTAAATACAGTGGTTCTGAGCAGCTCTCCATAGGCGAGATCCATCAAAGGGACCTTGTTCTGTAAGATAGGATTTTCTACTGAAAAACACGCTAGCTGACTCAAAGAAAGTTTCCACTGTAATAACTATTGAGTTGAGAAGACCACCCCTCATTTTTTATTTTCTTTGAAGATGCTGTCTTGGGATGTAGGAAAAATAAACCCTCAGAAGCTACCAAGTTTGAAGGGGACCATGAGTCTTCAGGCTGGAGCTTCCAAACCAGATGAGAACCCCACAATTAACCTGCAGTTTAAGATCCAGCAGCTGGCCATTTCCGGTGAGTGACCCCATCTCAGGAGGCTTTGACTGGAGAGAAGTGGAGCTCCTAAGAGGGACAGACAGCAGAAAGCCTTCTCAGGCTTTCTCATAATAGGGTTTATGGGCTTTGGCTTTATTATCTGGTATGTAATCTTAGCAAAATCTTTTCCAGCATATTTGGGTATAAGTTTACAATCTTTACTTTGAAGCTGGCTTAAGTGTCCTGAATAAAAGTGTGTAGGACACCAGTGAGAATGGAGAAGTACTGGCAGACAGTAGTGTTCACAGGCCATTTCTGGGTCATGCTAGGGTTGTTGATTTGAGATCCCTAATATTTTCAATATGAGACTGCTTCTGCATCCTTGACTGGTGGCAGAAAAAAATAACTTCCACTCGTTTCTCCCAGATTCAAAAGACATTCACGTTTGTTCTTGCTATCATTTTGGAACATTGCCAGTCTACTCTAGCTACACCTACAGTGGCTAGTGAGTAAGTTACCACTTACTATGTGCCAGGCACTCCTGTAAGTTCTTTTTGTGTATTATTATTTAATTCTTAGAGCAACCCTATTAGTTAGAAAGGTACTGACTTTAGCTTTATACGACAGTCCTGTTTTTCTTTCCTGAAAGACTCTATCTAATTAAGTGATTATAATTCAGTTAAGTAATAAGTGCTTTCATCCTGAAAGTTAATAAATTTTAAAACTATATGCAATATAAAATATTTTTCTTGAGTGCAGTGAGAATATTTAGGAGGCATTCACTGATCAATTTATTATTTTTCATTATTCAGGTATAATTTATTTCATCATTCAGTGTAATAATTTGAGAAAAATTATAATGATTTAATTTTTCCCTCACCCTCATTGCCTATAACTTTCTGCCTTTCCACCTAAAGAAGAGATCTTCTCACAGGATAGTCTTTTTGTTGAAGCAGTGTTTTATTGTCAGTGTAGGTACCAAAAGCAAAGAACCCATCACCTTTGCAGAAGTGGCTCATGGTTATAGCAACCTCTGGTAATTCAGACTTATCTCTTAGCATTAAAATGAATGTAAACAACTGCTACCTGTGTCTTTTCAATCATTCTCATATCTTATTTCCCTCCCTCTCCCCCCATTCTCCTTCTCTCCCCCCAGGACTCAAAGTGAACCGTCTAGATATGTACGGAGAAAAGTACAAGCCCTTTAAGGGCATAAAATACATGACCAAAGCTGGAAAATTTCAAGTTCGAACCTGAAAGGAGTCTTGCAGAAGGAACAGTCATGAACACTTTTTCATTTCTTACTTGTCTAAAAGTAAAAATATCAGTCTGTCTCTTAGATCAGTCCCCTCCAGGGCTACCTGCTCCCTTTTGTCCTCAGCCTTCAGTGCCATGGAACTAATCAAGGGAGAAAAGAGTCACCAGGGAGAACTTGGCAAAACCAAAATAGTTAGCACCAATGCAGTGCTAGAAAAGAGGTGTGTGGTGGAGGGCAGCAATATTTGACACCATATTTAGCTATTTTAACATGGTTACCGTACAAAGACCAGCATTTGTTGCTTGCTTGGCTTTAATTCTTTAAAGTCAAGGAAACACATCTTTATTGAATTTTTTTTATGGTAGAAAGACAAAAAATTGGAAGAAAAATGAATGTTAGCTGAAGAGAGGCCAGTTCAAGATCTGATCTATGGGGCTAGGCATGTAGCTCAGTGGTAGAGCACTTACCTAGCATGCACAAAGCCCTTGGGTTCCTCCTCACACCACACACAACACAAAAAAAGTCTGACTGATGAAGAAAAAGAAAGAGGAAATAGTATTAGAGAAGAGTTGTGAGAAGATATACTAAAGTGAAAGATACACTGATCAAACTCTACACTAAAGAGGATTGGGAAGAATAGAGTTGACTTCTTTTGATATATAAAATTCATTTGAACTTCTAGAAATTAACTGAAGACTTACTAAATTTAAGTTCACTACAGACATGGAAAATTCCAGTAGAATCAGATTCTCCCTTAAAGACTGATGATACTGGACTAGTTCTCACATGCTAACTTTTGCTTGCTTTTAGCACTTGAGTCTGTTGTCTTCAGTGAGAAGATGACCTGTCTGCTTCCCAAAGGATTCTGCTTGCCTCTGTTTGCAGAATTCATCAGCCTTTTTGTAGTTACATGATCCTTTCACAGAATTTTCTAAAAGTAAGAGCTTCAGTACAGCCAGATTTTATGAATCATAGTATTAGAGATGGCAAGTCATTTCTCAGGAAGGTGGACCATATTATAACTGAGCAATCCCATATTTGCATTTGTCAGTGCTGGACTGATACTGGGTCCTATGGCCTCCAGTCAGAAACTTTTCCATCAAGAGCTCTAATTAAGAAGAGTGTTTACCATTGAAGGCATAAGACCTTTAAAGTTCCTTGGTAAAAGTTATCATTTCCTTACAGTCTTTTGTACTGTGCTCTACAATATACCTATTAATAATAGATACCTGCCAGTGCATTTTTCTTTTTAAAAAAAAGTCCCTTGAATCTTTGAATACAATTAAGGCTATAGAAGATGGACCATGTTGAGCATGGGTAACCAGCCCAGTTTTTAAAATATGGCAACTTAAGTAATACTTAAGTCTTTCCCAAAGAGTAATTTTTATTCTATTTCTGTGTCCATTATCCATTCAAATATATGAAAGACAGGTTTGTTTGTTTTTTAACTATCGTGTAGGGAAGAGTACTGTGCTCTGTGTTGTGCATGGAGAAAAACGAAGATCTGTGCTCTCCAAGCCATAGAAATTTTTCTATTTCCAAATACTTGTGCAGTTTTTTTGCTGGTTTTATCTTGCTGTTTCCAGGACTTATTTCTGCTGCAGAGTAATGCTGCTTTGTGGCTTTCTCTGGGATAAACTGCTGTATACAACCAGATGTGTTTCCTACTGTGTCACTCCAGAATTTGTCCTGATTTCTATGGCCCCCACATACCTACCCTGGCAGGGAAGCATCTCTGCATGTGGATTCCACAGTACTCAGAACCACTTCTGAGCGCTGAAGGATTTTAAGGTTTCCTAGGTCACAGGAAACAATTAATCTTGGTCCGTAACAGTTAGTGCAGCTGTTTTATTTTTCCAGGGCAGTACATCCTATTTCAAGGGATGTACCTAGGAAGAAGTCAGGTCTAGACCTGCAGGCCCACACATACATGAAGTAGCTGTCAGATCATGGGTGTAGCTGACCTTGCTGCAGCTGAGCATTGCTGCTACCACCAAACAGTGTTTCAGTTAGCAGTTAAGTTCCATGTGTGGGTAACACATGCAGAAGTAGCTTCCTAAGTCTGTAAGTCCTAGTAAAGTTGAGTTGCACCAGTTCTCTGTGGCCTGTGTTTTGTTGCTAGGACTAACAGTAATGTGCTCTACCATGCATTCCTCAGTGTAAACAGGGTAGGGAGTTTACCTATTCAGAAGACCTGAAACCACACATACAGTTCGATTGATTGTCTAATCACCTCTGCAAGATAAGGAATGTTGGTGTTACTGTCACTTTTAAGGTAATGACAGCTAAGGTCCAGATCAATCAAATTATTTTCCACTAGGGTATAAAAGACAAAAACTATTAAAGCTGCCAGTGTTTATTCTGGTGCTTTCTGTATTCTTTTGAGCAGCTTCTTGGGTTGATTAGTTTAGGCAGGAGACAGGGATTCAAGTTACTAGACATCTTCTTGGAGGAGGGGCATCGGGAGTCAGCATTGTGTAGATGCTGGTATTCCATACCTGAACTGAGTCTCTTTCCAAGACCTCTGTTTTCTGTGCACAAGTGTTGAGTGCTAATATTGCAGCTTCTTTTTTGCCTAGCCATTCTTCAGTTCTGTAGCCCTCCTTCCTTAACTACAGCTTTGCTTTTCCCAGTTTCAGTTGCCTGAGGTCAACTGCAGTCTGAAAATATGAAATGGAAAATGGCAGAAATAAGCAATTCTTGTGTTCTAAATTATGCAGTCTCTGAGTAGCGTGATGAAATATTTCACTGTTCTGCTTGGTCCTGCCCTGTTCTGTCACGCACCATCATGCTCTGGGTGTGAATCACCCATGTGCATAGGGTATCCACACTGTATACACTACCTGCCTTATATTCACAAAGTAGCTGTCTTGGTTATCAGATTGATGGTGCAGTATTGCAGAGTTTATGTTCAAGTAATCTCAAGTGACCCTTATTTAATAATGGCCCCAAGGACAATTTGGATATGCCAAAGAAATACGGTGCTTCCTCTGAAGTGAAAGTCCTCAAGGATAACAAAAAATATCACATTGAAGTTGCAAGATCTGCAGTAGGAATGAAACTTTCATCTGAAAATGTGAAGAAGGAAGAAGAAATTTGTACTAGTTTTTTTTTCACATCACAAAGTAACTGCCACAGTGCATTGTGAGTGCGTGAGGCATGTGTGTTCCATTTGCTGACACATTACACCACAGAGCATAGAGACCTGAGTGGATAAGTAATGCAAGGTGCTTACGGCTGTGCCTCATTTGTCACCTTCACACAGGTATCTATGGACAGGAAAAGCAGTCTGCACAGGGTTGGGTGCTGTCTGTGGTTGCAGGCATTCACTTTGCGTCTCCGAGCACATCCCCACAGATCAGGATGACTGCTATATTTTATTTTCCCTGAGTCTAGGTTCTGGTGGCCTTGTGTGACAGGAAATGTTACGTACTTTCCTCCATGGCCAGCAGGTGGTGACAAGGCGCCATCGATACTGATATTTGCCGTGGTTAGATTTTAAAAAGGGAATTTAATTTGAAACTCAGACTTCCTTCAAGGGACCTAAATATTGAGGATTCTGTGAGTGTTTGGTTCACATTAGAGGTTAAATGTTGAACCAAAAGTTAATGACAATAAACAGGCTTCAGTGGAGTTTAGGGAGTTAAACTGTCTGGGTTCCTCTCAGTCTTTAACCATGAAAACCAACTGCACAGTTGCCTGAGAGTCATTCTTTGGGGTTGTTAGCATCTTGTTTTATTAATCAGCCATGGATAATGAGGAAATAGTGTTTAATTTCCTGTCAGACTCTCTGTTCTGACAAGTTCCAGACATTTTATCCTACATTTCCTAAGGCATACTGAGTAGTAAGGTGTTACTCTTTGATATTTTAGTGTAATTCAAATGACAGCCTTTCTGAGATGGGCCTCTGCCTTGTAACTTAGGCAATGGCCTGATCTGAGCAATTGTCTCCATCTGGCTGCGGTTTCCAGGGCTCCACTCAGAAATGCTGAGGCCTTTTGACTTTGTATTTCCATCCCAGGAGGCCTTTCTGCTTCTCTGCATCTCATTAACCTCATTGTCTGAAGGAAAGTTTGTCACAGAGGGGGAAGGGTGGAACTAGCTGCTTGGATTCTTGCTTCCTGACCTTCTCAAGTATCGGCATTTGGCAACTGAGATGGCATTTGTTTCTAAAATAAACATTTTTAGAATCTGTAAGCAGACTGTTTGAAAACAAGAAATAAGTGATTTTAGTGGCTAACACTTGTAATCCTAGCTACTTGGGGGTTAGAGATGGGGAGGATGGAGTTTTGAGACCTGTCTGGGCAAAAAGTTCATGAGACACCATCTGAAACAATAAAAGTTGGGCATGGTGTCACCCACCTGTCATCCCAACTATGCAAGAAGTATAAATAGGAGGATCACAATCCAGGCATAAAAGCAAGACCCTATTTGAAAAATAACTTATCAAAAAGTAGTGGCAGTGTGGCTTAAGTGGTAGAGTGCCTGCCTAACAAGCACCAGGCCCTGAGTTTAAATGCCAGTATTGTGTCCTCTCCTCCTGAAAAAAAAAATCTGATTTTAAATGGTCAGGTATAGTGTTTCATAGCTGTAATCCCAGTTACTACTAAGGAAGAAGAGGTAAGAAGATCATGATCTGAGGCTAGTTTGGGAAAAGCCCAAGACCTTACCTTTTCATAAGCTAAAAGCTAAAGGTGGGGGGGGGGTGGCTCAAGTGGAAGAGCACTTGCTAGGACTGAGTTTAATCCCCAGTACTGTCCCCTCTCTTCCCCCCACCAAAAAACAAACAAAAAACTGATTTAAGTCTGACTTGCATTGATTTAACTGTCCTAGGGATATCATGTCAGCATTTAGAGGAAATACCCCTCCCCCATCAAGCTCTTGGGATTTAGAGATTGTTTTATGAGTTTAAACTACTTTTCTTCTAAGAATATCTAAACTGAACAGTTCTGAGAGAGATAAAGAAATAAAAACCCCTCAAGAGATAAAGACTGTTCTTTAAGAAAGTGTCAGCAGACACCCAAGAACATGCCTGGTATTGTTAAGTTTATTCTTGAAACTAGGGCATCAGTGATGGAAGCTGTGAGGCAGCACAAGTGATAAAGTCTCTTG